AGAAGAAGAAGAAGAAGAAGAAGAAAGAGGGCGTGAAACTAGGGCATGGTCGGGCTTCCAATTCAGAAGAATGAAGATGTATTGTTGTTTAGGTTTAGTATATGTATTCTGTAATATGTTATATATATATATATTTTTTTTCTCTACGGGTCAGTTTCGGGTTTGAACCCGAAATTGACACGAAATTGAATTGCGGGTCAATTTCGGGTCACACGGGTCCAACCCGAAAATGACCTGTTTTGTTTGTGTCAATTTCGAGTAGACCCGATTCCGACCCGCACCCCATTTTCCTCAACCCTAACCCGTAATTTTCGTGTCGATTTCGATTTGTGTTGTCGTGTCGTGACCCGTATTGCCGCCCCTACACACCACGTTCTTCTTTTTTTCTTTTTTTTCATTATTATAATTTTTTTTTGGGTCAGCCTAAAGTTGAGTCAGCACAAAATTTTATTTTCTCTTCTCATTTTTTTTAAGACCCATTTGTGATCCATTTTTTGACCGCAAACAAGATTTTTTTTTATTTTTGTTTTTTCTTTTCCTCACGTCTTAAGATCCGTGGCATTTTTTAGCATTATTTGATGAAATGTTTGGGCGTTAATCCAAGATGTGGGAATCTCATTTGGATTGACTCTGCTCCGACAAGGATTGACCAAGTTGATTTGTTAAAGAGAGTTAAAGTCATTGAGGAAGAAATTGAGAAGTTGCAAAAAGTATGCATGAAAACAGAAGATGACATGACAGCACTACAAGTGGAAATATTGAGGAAGGATTCTGAAATTTTCAAGCTGAGATTGGAAATTAAGCAACTGAAAAGAATCATTATTTTTGTTGTCATTTTGGGTCTTTTAGTGATCTGGATGTTGAAATATTTTTACGTGGACTTTTATAATCATAATAATTTATTCTGTAATTAACTAAAGCATATTATAGACGACTGTGTTAATGTGAATTAATACATATATGTATGTTAAGTAGACACTTATTTTATTAACTCGCTTGAGGCATATATGTTGGATCTTTAATCCAACGTTGGGCTTATATGTGAATAATTATGTGTTGCGGGCTGTCATATAAGGTTAAGCCTAATTAAAGGTGATCTAATAAGGTTTAGGTATTTTGGGCTTTAATGTATCTAATAGGGTGTGTGCCTTTAATGTGTAGAGACTTAAGGGTAATTTCTATTTTTATGATGGGCTAAAATAGAAATACTACAAGATAACAGGAAAGTTATCAATATATGGCAGTTATGGTCCCCAGATCACATGTATCATTTCATTCATTCTGACATCTCATCATCAGAAAGAGTACAGAGAGAAAGTTAAAGGGTTCTTTAGGAAAACGTGTTGATCTGGAAGACAAACTACACGATTCTAGAGAGAAATCAAGCAATATGGATTCAGGTACACTTCTGCTTACAGATTTATTAATTCTTGATGATCTAACATGAATGTTCTTGGCTTTTGGGTGATGGTTTTCACTAAATCATTGATTTCTAACAAGTGGTATCAGAGTCTCTTCATGTTGAATCATTGAGAATCAAATTTATTATCGATCTATCGTGATATGTTTGGTGTTCTTGAATTTAATAATTTTAGTTTGGGGTTGTTGGATTTTGAGAACAATTTTTTCTTACGGTTATAGAACCTTTTTGGACAATTTTTTGAATTTGGGTTTAGTGAACCCAAATCAACTTCTTGGCTGGCGGTAGCCCCTGCCGCCGCCAGCTTTGTGGGTAAGGCACGGCCTTTGGCCGCGCCGGCAAGGGACAACGGCTTGTAGCCGCGGCAGTAAGGAGAAAGCGGCAGCCATGGCTGCCGCATAAGGAATTTAAAAAAAAAATTCTTTTGGATATTGAGCCGGCGGTCGTCCTTGCTGCTGCCGGCGTCTGGGTATTCCGGCGCAGCTCTTGGGCTGCCGGAAAAGATGAACCTCGGCCGTCTGGCCGAGGTTTCTGCAACTGGCAGCTGTTTGGCCGCCAGTTCACCTAGAGGTCGAACAGACCCCTACGGTTTGAGATGTACGGGCACAATGGGGCCCATGACATGAGGCTGGTTGTGGGCCAAGCCCACAGCCATTTAAAAAAAAAATGGAACAAGCCTTCTGGCCATTAAGGGAACCACGAGCCCAAATTGGGCCAGTGGCTTAAGTTAGCCCGTTACAGCAAAAAAAAAAAAAAAAAAGGAAAAGGGCCTTGGGCCTTTAGGAATAGCAAGTGACCCACAAAGGAAAGGGTTACCATAAGTATCCCTCTGGATTAAAGAAGTGGGCTGGTTCAGGATCCGGGTTGGGTTTACCCGACCCGGTCAACATTTGACCATTGACTTTGACCGTTGACTTTGATAAAAAAAAATTTTTTGTGCAATTTTAAATTCAGATATTGGTATGGTTTTATATATTTTGAGATGAATTAATTGAAGCAACATGTTACCAAAGTGACCTCTATTGTGGAAATTAATTTATTTTGGAATATAAACAGTTGTGTATATATAACTTATGTGAATATTGATCGGCCCAAAGGAAGGTCAATATTTAACAGAATCACATGTGCACCTGTGGTAATAAACGCGTGATGATTATTTGGTTTTACATGTGAACAATAAATCATCCCAACGGAAGATTTATTGTTTGGCGTGTTCTTATTATCAGTGTTTGATTACTACACCAAGAT